TGATAATAAATTAACCAGTTTGGCATGCCAAAACCACCTCTTTCTTTTTTATCTTGAAGAAGTTTCCATCTAATATGTGCTCTTTTACCATGCCATATACATTTTCTTGTATGTTTATCCAGTTCTTGGAAAAAGTTATTGTTTTTTAATATTAGGTTTTGTGCCAAAAATAAGAAACGTGGAAGAATGTTCATCTTAACAGTAGCAATTCTACCCATAAAAGACAGTTGTAAATCATGCCATTTCGGAAGATCTTTTTAAATATTATCTAGTAATTTTTTATAATTATATTCAAATAATGTGTTATTTTTATTTGAAAGTAGAACCCCTATGATCTTGTTGACCACCTCGATACCTGAATGTATCTGTATCTTGATATTCAAATCTTGTGAGCAGTTTTTGGTCATAATCTTAGTTTTTTCTAAATTTATTTTAAGTCCTGCTACAGAACCATATTCGGATAATACATCAAGCAAATGTGAAATAGAAACTATTGGATCATCCAGAATAAATACCAGATCATTAGCGAAAGCTTGAAGTTTAAATTCTTCTCCTTTAACTTTAAGGCCTTTTATGTTTATATTATCTCTTACCAAATCATTTAAAGTTTCCAGTGCAAAGATAAATAGTAATGGTGACAATGGACAGCCTTGCTGTGTTTCTTTCTAGATATACTTTGTGTTAAATCTCCATTAACTATTATCTTTGCAAATTGTTCTTTATATATGGACATTATCATCGTCATGAAACTATTGCCACAATCCCAAAGTTCCAGTTTACGTCTTAAAAATTCCCAGGTTACATTATCAAAGGCCTTCTCCGCGTCCAAAAAACCAACAAAGTTAATTGTCTTTCAGGGTTTTGCTCATAGAATTCTAATGTATTTATAATCGTTCTTATGTTATTCTTTATCTGTCTTTTCAGGAGAAAGCCTGCCTGGTCTTGGTGTATAACCTGTAAAAGTATCTTCTTAAAGCGAGTGGCTATGATTGTTGCAAAGATCTTATAATCGACATTTAAAGCGAAATAGGTCTATAGTTATGGATTTCTTTATCATCAGTATTAGGCTTATGTATGAGTGTGATCAGTGCTTCATTCCATGAATTGGGCAAATCTCCTGTTATTGTAATGTTATAGAGTAAATCCTTGAAAGGCAGACTACTATTAAAGGCGCAAATGTCCGGTGACATCTTAAAAACCGACAAAAATTATTCCAGGAAAAGTGAAGGTAGGATAGAAATTGTTTAAGGTAAACATAAATAAAAAGCTTCAATAATAATAATAATAATAAAATAATAATAATAATAATAATAATAATAATAATAATAATAATAATACTTTTTAAAACCTTACTAAACTTGTAAATAGATGTTTTGCCTTCCCTCCAGGAAACACCATGTGATATTCCCATTTTATCCATATATTACCCACCTGAAGTAGGCCAGGCTGAAAGGGTTACCATTAGAAGCACACGAACGTCGGCAGCCAAAGTCTGTGCAGCTTTATCTAGAAAGAAATGCCCATTAATGTCAATGGAAGTTACTTCTAAGTAAAAAGGGTTGCCAGACCCCATGGTGGAAGTGGGGGTTTCCCGCTGACAGCCCTCACTTCCCTGCTGCTGATCAGCTGGCCAGTGGGGGGGGGGGAACTCACCGCGAAAAAGGAGATCCATCTGATGTGCAGCAGCGTTTCTACATCACTGCCCACATGACCCGGAAGTAATGTCATCACATCCAGGATGTCAGGGTGACGCTCTGGTATTTGGGCAAAAAGTCTATGGTAGAACCAAAATTACCATACAGTTTTTGCCCGTATACCAGAGCGTCACCCTGATGTGATGACGTCACTTCTGGGTCACGTGGGCAGTGACGCAGACACGCCACTGTATGTCGGACGGGCCTCCCTGCTGCTCTCAGTAAGTCCCCCCTCTGATTCCAGTTGCCAGGAGGGACCTGACAACACTATAAGTAAATTGTAGAACACTGGAATTGCAGTTGTGCATTTTCCTGGGAGCGAGTTCCCCTGAATGCCTGCAATAGGCTGGTGTATAGAAAAGGGTCTTTGCCCCCCCCCAGTTCTGCCCCAGAAAGTGCTGGATTCGATCAAACCAAACCCCGTGCATTTAATTCCAGAGTGCCTCCATTCTAATGGCAATAAAACACCCTCAAACCCCTTGCTTCTGAGGTGAGAAAGCAGAAATTCAGAGCACTGTCCCCGCATGGTAACATTTCACCCCACAGCCTTTTGTAGTCCCTTGGCCCTGCTACTTATTTCCCCCCCATAAGTATGCTTGCCAGGTGCCTGCTAATGGTGGGCCAACTCGTGGCAGTTATGGCCACCGCCTGCTGATGCTCAGCTGCTCAGTGGGCAGAAGCAGGCTGGACAAACAGGAAGGGCAGAAATCATTGTCGCCTTATGATGACATCACTCCCGGAGCGACCCGGAAGCACAGGCATGGCCACTGTGAGGACTTTGTTATCAGACCTTCATCCCCCTGGCTACAGCCTCCCCCCCCCCCGCAATTCCTCATGCCCTGAAACATGGTCACTGTTTGCTCAGGGGGTGGGGGAACTTCCATGTCACAATAATCACATCGAAGTTTCCTACCCTAACGGACAGCAGCTTTCCTAGGCTGTTTCAAGATATAAAAATGACCGACCTGAAGCCACTTCTACCCACACGACTCTGTTGCAATCAGAGGGTCACCAGCTCTGGGTTTAGAAATACCCTGAGAATTTGGGGGAGGTGGAGCCTGAGGAGGGCGGGGTTTGGGTAGGGGAAGGGGTTCAGTGGGGTACAGTGCCATAGAGCCCACCTTCCAAAGGAGCCATTTTTTCCAGGTGAACTGATCTCTGTCGCTTGGAGGTTGGCAACCCTACAACTGGAAGGAGGAGGAGGAGGAGATTGGATTTATACCCCGCCCTTCACTGCCCAAAGGTGCCTCAGAGCGGCTTACAAACTCCTTTCCCTCCCCCTCCCACAACAGACACCCTGTGAGGGAGGTGGAGCTGAGAGCTCTGACAGAAACTGCTCTTTTTCAAGAACAGCTCTGACAGAACTATGGCTTGCCCAAAGTCATCCAGCAGCTGCGAGTGGAGGAGTGGGGGAATCAAACCCGGTTCTCCCAGATCAGAGTCCGCGCACTTAACCACTACACCAAACTGGCTCTCTGGACCCACACTTCTCTGGGAGGGACAGCACTCCCACTGCCTGTCTTGATACAAAGTCCCCACAGTGGCCACTACAGAGACTTTGCATTCTGCAAATCAGCCCTTTTCAAAGAACGGAACACCAGGCACCGATGAGAAAGAAACAAGATTTAATTTCAAAAAAATTATTTTTGGCTGACAAATAAAACACTCATTACATATGAAAATACTCTCAGATTAATAGTAGTCTACATTTGAAAGCCAACATGTTTATTGTACAAACGGTCAGAGTGGAGGCCCCCCAGTTCAGATTAAAGTCTTTCGAAGGTTTCTAATGATTGTCATTGTGTGACGGTACATCGAGGGGAGTCTTTCTCATGAGTGCTGCAGGATGTACCGAAGACCCTGGAACCGTCAAAAGCCAAAGCGAACAGAGATCCTTCCCGATATATAAAGTGCAAAGATTGATCCAGGCTTGTAAAGACTCACTTACCTGGCAGAGCATCAAAATTGGCAGGGCAATTTTGCAAAAGGTAAGTTCCTTTTTTTCTTTTTTCTTTTGGGCCACAAATGACTAAGAGAGGACTGCGCGGGCAGGAAGGAGGTGAGCAAACATTTTTGTAAACAACTAACTTCCATGGAGGATCTTGAAAGGCCAGATTTACCCACATTTTGGCAAACCCCACCCCCCAAGAGCGAGGTTGCTCTTTCAGTTAAGAAATAATTGCATTCCCCCTGCTCTAGGGAAAAAACCTGGGCACTTGAAATGTAGCAAATTCTATTCCAACCTTCTAATAGATGGAAACGATCGTAGCTAATCGGGTAAACCAGCTCAATAACAACAACAAAAAATTACTTGTAAATTACAGGGATTAGCCGTTTCCAATAAATTAAATCGCCGCTTGTGTCAGATTTTATTTGCAGTAATAAAACTCTCACTAGTTAAAAATTCTTTTTGACGGAAAATGCTCATAATTCTTACGCCCGCCATCGTTTTTTCGGGATCCTTGAAAAAGGTGACTCGAAGGCCCCGACACCTTTGTCAAGCTATGTTTGTTTGCATAGAAAAAGATTTACCACAGGCATTAAACTATCACAGGAGAAGAAATTGCATTTCTTTCAAATTGGGGAGGGGGAAAAAAACCAGCTAAAAAGTTTCCGTTGGGGTTATTGCAGCCGTACAAGAATACAAGATGCTTCCTTGAATTAAAAAAAAGAAAAGAAATTGTGAATGCAAAACAGGCTACAAAACAGTAAGGGCCTTCCGTTGCCTTCCCTCCGCAGAATTACAGGGTAGGCTCTTCCTGCATTCTCTGAGTTAATGTTTTCAACCTCCCCGAAACAGAGCATTCTGCAACCTCTTGCCACGAGTGTCGTTCTGTCAGCCTCTCTACCGGCACCCATCACAACCTCGTCGTGATGTAATTGTCCTGCACAACGGTCTCTGGTTTCTCAGCAGAGTCCCTACTGAAGTCCAACTCCTTGTCCAGCAAATCCTTTGGTGTGAGCAGCTCGGTCTCCCGCCTCGTGCTATCCTTTGTGTCGGTGGAGGTCGCCACAGTGTCCGGCTCGGAATCAAAAGTCTTGTTTTTAGCTGGCTTCTTGGGGGCCACCATGGGCTTGTCCCCAGGACTGTGGATGTTCAGCTCGCAGTTCACCACCAGTTCTTCCTCCTCCGCCTCCTCAGCTTCCTCTAACTGCTCCTCCACTTGTTGGCGGGCGACTTCTTCGGAAATGGAGTAAATCTGGTTGGCACTTTGCTCGGCAGGGGCGTTTTTGGACTGTTTGTGAAAGAAGCCAAACTTCTTCACGTCAGCCACAAAGTTCACCTTCTTGTGCTTGTCCCTGGCAGACTCGGGAGCCAACAGGGCCGAGCCATTGCTCAGGATGTGTGCTTCGGAGGCCCGTGCAGCGGCCCTCGGGTGGATCATGGTCGTGATGTCAAAGAGGCTCAAGGTCCTCCGCTTCACTTTGTCCTGTGCTGCAGCCTCTTCTACTTCCTCGGCCTCCGGTAAAGAGTCGTCGTCATCTTTGCCTGTTTTTGAGGACTGTGCGTTGGGGAGTTTGTTTCCCTTTAACAGACCGAGGACTTCAAAGCGAAAACTGGAAATATCTTGTTTTAGCTCCTAAACGCAAGCAGAAAAAACAGGCAGTTTTTAAAGGACAGAAAACTCAGCAGAAAACTTTGACAGTGTATGCCTCTTGAAAGCATAGGGCTGCCAGGTCCCCCGAGTGGAGATTTTCCT